TTCCACCAAAATACATAAATACCTAAAATATCCATCAGTTGGTGAATGATTGAATTGTTCTGTATCCTAACGATGGACTACCCTTTAAAAAGTACAAAGTAGAGGCTGGCCGGTTAGCTCACTTGGTTAAATTGTGGTGTTGTCACACCAAGGTCAAGGGTTTGGATCCCTGTACCAGCCAGCCGCCCAAAAATAAATAAATAAATAAGTGGAATGTAGTCGTTCTATTGGTACTAACGTAAGAAATTACATATGGTATATTGATATATTGGAAAAGTAATTTAGGATATGTGGCTAGTGTCATCCAATTTGGTTTAATCATTTATGTGTAAAAACCAAGGCACGAGAGGTTCACACCAAGCAATTAAGGTTGGTCACCTCTGGGAAGAGCGGTGAGAAGGACTGAGAGGAGAGCAGCAGCAAGTGGGACTTTCATTCTGTTGACACATTTCTGCCATGGTTGAAACTTTGCAATGAGCGTCTTTGATGGTTTAAAAAATTAACGTCACGATGCATTCTTAAATTGATGAATCTTCTGTTAAAATTTTGAAAATCCACAGAAGGTAGGAAAAATTCATAAAGGTTCCCCCTCTGCATTACCCAAGAGCACTGTTAACATTCTGGAATAAAGGAGAAAAAATGAGTCCAGCAGAGTTGATTCAGCAGGAAATATGGATACAGCAGGGGGCACGGAGGCATCTCGGCCTTCATTTCTCTCCTCCTCTGCCGTTTGCTGTTTGGTTTCAGGGAAGCCATTTGCCTTGTCTGTGGTGCAGTTAGGTTTTCTCCATTCTCCGGGTAGGGCTGACCTACTTGCGCTGGAGGGAAGGGCTGGAGAGAAAGGGTGTCGAGAGAGGTCGGCCTAAATGGGAGGTGTTACTGTCAGATGCTGCATCTCAGGGCGGCCGGTAGATGGTAGATGAGGGGTGCTCCTTGTGGGAGCTGAACTCTGAAGCAGACACCCTGATGAGCAGATAAAACAGATAAAACATGAAAGTCCATGTGGTCTGGTAGAGGAGGAGTGTGTGTGTGTGTGTGAGTGTGTGTGTGTGTGTGTGTGTGTGTAACGGGTAAGAACATTTATAAAGCAATAAGGGAGAACATTTTAATACAGCGTGATAAACAGAAGCACTGTGGAGGAACTTAAAGTAACTTGGAGCAATCAGATTTGGGAAGCGTTAAGAGACGCTTCCAGTGGGTAGGAGTCAGGTGCATTTGCCTCTGTGTCTGTGTGTGTGGGGGGGCAGGGGTGGGAGGCTGTAGTGATGGGGCATTGGGTAGCTTTCTTATTAAGTTCAAAGAGAGTTTCTAAAGGGAAAATAAAATCCCCGTTTGACTCAGATGTGGTTCATTTTCTGAGGCAATGTCAGGAGGCACAACATCAAATCTAGCTTGACACCCTCCGGTACAGAACTCAGCAGTCTCCAGAAGTGGGAGCTGAGCTGCAGCTTGGCTAATGAGAAATGTCCGTCCTCTGCCAATGCCTCAGGGCCCGTCTCTTCCTCTTTGGCAAGCAGGACACAAAAAGAGCTCAAAGCAGAGTGGGGACCTAAAAGGTCACCCAGAGCATTCATTTTGCAAGCTCTCCAGCAGGCCTTTCCACAAAACAGACAAGCACAGTTTCACAGTTTTGCTAGAATCCAAGCCAATGGCTTCGTGCTTCAACCTGGGGTAGGTTTTAATGAATCCCAAAGGGCACTGCACACACTGACCTACCACTGGCAGCGAGGAAGAGGAGATGGGCCAGGTGCTGCCGAGCTGTATCCTCTCATTTATTCTCTGGGCGTGAAAGGAGCGATTGTAAGATTCAGACAAAACTAGAAGTTAAGGTTCAGAGCTCCCAGCGTAAACATTTTGGTCTGTTATTAAGTTCACTTTCACCAGTAAGACACATTCAGAAACACAGTAAACCTATTGTTCTGCAGATGTTTGTTCATTTCAGTGGTTTGGCCTGTGGAACCCTCAAGTGGAAGTTAGGTTGTCTCCATTATGTCCTTCCTAATTTGTTAAGTATTTCTTGACCTTGTCCCCTTCTCAGTCTCCACTGGCACTGTCCATGTGTGCACGGTTTATCACAACAGCCTTCTATCCGATGTGCCTCCAGCTGTGCCCCTGCAGTCGGTTCATCACACTGCCTGAGTCTTCTCTCCAGACTTCAGCTGCTTGTTCCTGCACTGCTCAGCAACCCTCAGTGACACTCGGGGCCTTTTATGATATCCCCACTGCCCACCTTCTGGGCCACATCTCTTGCACTTATGCCTCTCGCCACTTCATCTTGTCTTCTGATTCACTGCTCGAGACTCTGTCTCATCTTTTGCCTGGAATACCTTTTTTGCTCATTGCTGTTTGTCTCAAGATGCCGCTATACCAAGAGTCCTCTCTAGGAAGTGCGCCCTAACCTTGCTTCTATGTGCTATTTCTCTACACTCTGGAAGCTCACGAGGTTTATTTCCATCCCAGCACCTACATTCTGTCCTAACTGGCTAGTTATAAGTAGCTGTCTATGGGGTCTCCCTGGAGTGTTCATGAATTAAAAGTCCTGTGTTGTTCCAGGTCAGCTGTTGCCAGCAACCCGCAATACACCGAGTCCCATTGACCCTGACACCATCCAAGTCCCAGTGGGCTATGAGCCAGACCCGGCAGATCTTGCTCTTTCCAGCATCCCCGGCCAGGAAATGTTTGACCCTCGCAAACGCAAGTTCTCTGAGGAGGAACTGAAGCCACAGCCCATGATTAAGAAAGCTCGCAAAGTCTTCATCCCTGATGATCTGAAGGTAAATTGGAACTGGTAATCAGGCTTTGGGCAAGTGGAGAGTGGGATCAAGAAACTGATGGAAAGGGTGACCCCAGGAAGATCCTATAAGCTAATGAACGAAGGACTGGTGATTTCAGATCCTGGTTCTTGGCATGTGACTTCTAGGCAAGGTGCTTTCCCTCTGAGTGTCTTCTGAAATATGCTTTCATGCCTTGATACTGAACAGAAATCAGGAGAAGCTGTAAAGCGTTGGAGCAATGTTAAGCCCACGAAGGAAGCAAAGCTGCTACTATCTGTAAGGAAGCTCACCAAAGCCTGATAATATCAAACCAAAATCCTTCAAGGTTTGAAAGAGAAAGAAAATTATCTGGGACGGGCATCTGGACCTCATTGTTCTCCAAGGGTTACCTTTTCTTGGGAATTGGTTGATAACCACTGCCATTTCCTTGTAGGTCTCAGGGAATAACAGCCAGAGACAGGCCTTCCCTCTGCATGGTCAACCTTGGATGACCAGGGTGGGATTTTGTGAAGGGAGCTGGTGGGCTCCCTGACACTATTTATATGTAGTGATCACTTTGTGTCTCAAGTAATGATCACTTGAGTATCTCAACAAAAGGTTAACCCCTGGTTGGTTTTCTCTGCTATGTGGAAGAGTTCACTTGATTTATAAAGGGAAATAGATTAACCCCGGGAACTGAAATACAACTTAAAACAAAATTAATCTGACACATTTCATGATACCTTAGGATGAGAATTTTTTCCAAAATTATGCAGTGTTAGAATCATTTTGATTATCCATTGCTTAGAACTTTTGGGGTTTATGTTTCTTTCCAATCATATGGACAGTAGAGGTATGATTACATATACTTAAGGCCTTGGGACCAGGCATAATTAGCCCTTTTCTCACATCTGACCCCCATTTCTCAAACCTAAATCTGGTTCACAGGTAGAGACACTCCACTGGTGGGAAAGTGGGAGTCTGAGACAACATCTAACTGATTTAGACCAGTTACCCATGCTTTTTGTATCTAGAAAGAATGCTGGAGGCAGAAGTACCTGGCAGGTTGAAATCACTGCTGTCAGCCACATACCTGAGATTACCTTAAAGATGCAAGAAAAGGAAAATGTCAGGGCTGAAAGGCACCTTAGAGTTTCATTAATCCAAAGTTAGCGTTTTTCAGTTGAGGAAATGGAGAAACAGAAAGATAAGGTAAGGTGAACTCTACCTGTTAGAGTAAGGCCTAGCCTGGCTTGCGGGTTTTCTAGCTTCCAGAAGGGTCACTATGGCATGTTGGCCCTGACAAGGGCTACAACAGGGGCTATCGGTGACAGATCAATAGCTATCACCCCGGGAATAAAAAAAGGAAAGTGCATGATAAGAAAAATACCAGGAAATCTAAACTAGGCAGGGCATTGATGGTTACACTGAGATGGAGAAAGAAGGGGTGCCATGGGATTAGGTCCTGGGCAGTTAGGTACCTTCTTTCAGTTGGGTGCTTTACCTAGTCTTGTGTTGTTGGCGATCAAATTCTGTGTGTATTTTAGAGCCTCTCTCTTAACCTAAACCAGGGAACCCGCTCAGCATGGATTTCGTCTTGAATGGAGGGCAGTTTGAAAGAATGCTCCTGAGCCGTAGATAGAGCTTCCAGACAGACCTTCACAGAGTCTCCAACTTTACATGTTCAAAGCTAAGAGAAGGATTACTTTATAACCCAGGTAACCTTGGCAACAAAGAGGCCAGTGAAAACCATCTGTGCTGGAATTATACATATTACTGCTGTCATGGCCAGGCCTGACCTTTTCACACAACAGGTGGTAGATGGGCAGGAACATTCTCCTGCCATGTGTCCTTGGAATTTTTTCAGTTGTGGGTGAAGACCATGAGGTAGTGCGAAGCAGGAAGCAGAGCTATAACGTGTTTCTCTTTCCAGCAGAGAGGACTGAGCTACAGGTGGGTGAGAGAGGTGTATGTGGCCCCCAGTGCTGGACGAGCAAACTGACTGAGTGAACGGCCCCCACCAAGAATGGTCTTCCCCATAGCTGCCTGAGCTTCCTCTCTTGAGTTATTCATTTGGGTTAGCATGCATCCTCTAGGAATATTAAGGACTGACATACTAGGATTCCTAGCTGAAAATCAGTTTAATCACCTTGATTTCTTAATACTTTTAAGGGTCCATTCATTCACTTGACAAATGTTTTTCAAATGCTAGTGTGTGCCAAGCCCTGTATCAGGAGCTGGAGATACCAAGGAGAGCCAATACTGCTGATATGGTTCCTGCCATCTTGGGACTTCTAGTCTGGCGAGAAAAAGGGAGTGTTGACCTGTCAGGGGGCGGGGGGAGGGGGGGGCGGGCTGAGTGGGTCCTGGCTGGGTGGGGTAGCTGAGTAGCCAGGGGGCATCAGCATCTGGGAGATAGAGCAAAAGGGGCAGGGGATGTACTGCCCAATTTATCAGGCCCACTCAAGATCCTGCTTTTGCCTCCCCCAACCATTCTGTGATGGCCAGGAGAGGTAAGCTAGTTTTTCTAGTCCAGGACACAATTTCTTCCACCATTCCTGCCTTCTGCACCTTCTGCTCTACCCTCTTCCCAGCTCCCCTCCCACCTGACAGGTTGGTCCTCCATTCCACACCTCTGCTAGCCCATCTGCAGGTGCGGACAGGTGAGGCTGGGAAACGAAAGCACTTCAGAAGTCAGAAGAGCTCTAAGTAAGAGAGAAGTTGGTTGCTACACTGAGGTCAGCCGGTGACCTGATCAGCACTGCCACCAGTCTATGGCCGATGGCAGTACTCCCCCTCCACATACATGCCGTTTCCGCAGTTGCCCAGGGGCTTGTTCTCATGTACTCCTTCACCTCCTGGGCTCCTGCTCCCCTTTGTGCAGCTTCTGAGACATCCTAAGTCGGCTTCTCTTTGGAATGCTCTTGGAAACCACACGCCCAGGCACACTGATGAGTGTGGTACATTTACTGATACTGTGAAGGAAGGGGGTGGAATTGGGGCTCCCATCAAAGTAACACAAACGACTTCATCAGAACTGAGGCTTCGCTGTTGTTCATATGTCCCTGGGCCCCCCACCACGGGACAGCATTGACTCTCCTGGCTCCTCCCAGTCTCCCCTCTTCTTCCAGCTCCCCTGCTCCTTTTTAGAAGCACAAACAACAAATTCTACCAACAACCATCGCACACCTTCCCAAGCTTGCTTATCCAGGTATTCTTCAAAGGACAACCTCCTCCCCAACAAGAATTCTGGTACCAGCTATTATGAACATTTTTTTCACCCTGTTACATACTATTATGAAATGTATAGAAAGCTGGGATGCTTTATGAATAAGATGACAGTACCAGCTTGTGAAGAGCAGACGGGAGGTACCTGCACACATTTTCTGTCTTTGGGCAGGGCAAATGTCTGATGAGGGCAGGTCAGGGGGCGGACCACTGACCTTGGACCTGCCCTCAGCCTTGGCCTCCACCCATGACCTCCTCCAATGCCAACTGCCCCTTGGAATCCTGGGGGAGGGGGAAGACTGGCCTCACCTACCTGTTCTGGGTGGCATGTAACTGCAGGCATCAGCTTTGCTAGGGTTGATGGACTTGCTTTTGCAAGTTGTTGAAAAAAGGGGATTAGTTGCGAAATTCATCAGGTGGCACCATCAATGAATTGGGAAGGTTGAAAAAAATATTAGTCTTAGGAAGCATTTCCTTTCTTTCGGTAGGGGGGACAAAGCGATGGGGGGGAAAGGAGGGATCGCTTTCATGTTGAGTAAGGTTAAATATTATTCAGCCTAATTTAGGCCTAGAGAACAGTAAAACAGGAAATTAGAGTAAATTATTTAAATAATCGCCACTAGTATGAGTACAATGATTAAGTGTCAGGTTGAAGGGTTTTTTTTTTTTTTACCTGTTTTTAATTACCAAAGTGTACATGCCTATTACATAATATTCTAATAGTTCAGAAAGATATAAAATAAAAGGTAAAAGATGCTACCTCTCTCCTTTGCCTCTCCCAATCCCCCTTCTAGAGGCACCATCTTTATAAATTGGTATAAATCCTTCTGGGCCTTTTTCTATTAATAGATAATATTACGATTTTTTAATCAAACTGGGATGAGACCATACATATTTATAAGCAAACTGCCATTGTTTCTACCCATTTAGTGGTATATCATGAACATTCTTCTGGTTTAGCTGGGTTATTATTTTTAACAGCTGCCAAGTATCCCTTTGTATGATTCTATCATAATGTAGTTATTAAATCTCCTGCAGACAATTAGTTTTTCTCCATTTTTTCTAGTGCAAACAATATTCTGCATTAAAATTTTGTGCCTGTGTTTATGTGCGCGTGCGTGAAGATTGCTCTAGGATGAAATCCTAGAAGTGGAGTTGCTAGATCAATAGCATATGCATTTAAATAGCTCATAGGTATTGCCAAATTGCCTTCCAGAAATATTGTACCAACTTATACTCATACCAAAAAAGCATATGAGTGCCCATGGGAGAAAAGATTCTTAAAATAGAATGTTCAGCAAAGAGAGTAAAGAAAGTTGGAATGTAATTTAGGGTGTGAGGCGAGTCACTTGCTTTCATTCCGCCTCTGATCTCTGCCTCCTTAGGCACATGTTCTGCTGGGCAAAGAGTAGGAGCCTGTTGTGACACATCTGTCCCTGCTCCAGGAAGGACGCCATCGCTCGGGGACCCTTCTCTCAGACAGGCAGCAACTGTAAAGGAAGGAGACAAAAGCGAAGGAGCCTGGGCTGGTGTCTTGGCACAACCCCAAAGGCTGCCAGCACCCTGGCTGACACTTGGCGTTGCCGAAATCTAATACCTTGTTTCTTTTTCCTTCTGTCACTAATGAGCAGGATGACAAGTACTGGGCAAGGCGCAGAAAGAACAACATGGCAGCCAAGCGCTCGCGGGACGCCCGGCGGCTGAAGGAGAACCAGATCGCCATCCGGGCCTCGTTCCTCGAGAAGGAGAACTCGGCCCTGCGCCAGGAGGTGGCCGATTTGAGGAAGGAGCTGGGGAAATGCAAGAACATTCTTGCCAAGTATGAGGCCAGGCACGGGCCCCTGTAGGATGGCATTTTTGCGGGCTGGCTTTTGAGTAGACGGACAGCTCCTTTCCTGTCTGATAGCACCACACCCAAACCAGCCTTTCTGACAGCAGCACTTTACCAGAGGCATAAACACAACTGACTCGCATCTGGGTGTGCATCTGTGTGTACGTGCGTGCGCTTGTCTGTGCTCGTGCTCCTGCGTGTGGTCAACGGCGTGTGCGTGTGTGTGCGTGCTCCTTTGCACTTGCCATTTTAAGATAACCCTCTCATCGTCTTTTAGTTCTAAAAGAGGTGCCATGTTTTTATGAGACTTTGGAGACCTTTTGTGGGTCCCTCCCCGATTCTTCTCCCCTCCTGCCCTGTCAGCCTTGCTTCATGTCTGAGCTTACCTACTCTTCCAGGACTCTCTGCTTGGGTTCACCGAGAAGGGCCCTGGTACAATAGTGGATCTCAGTTTTTAAGAGTTTAAGCTCTTGTTTCTGTTGAATCTGTAAGTTACCGTGCCGATAAGGTGCATAAAATAACACAGCACTACGCCGCAGCTCTATTCATTTACAGGTTGCTTTCCTCATATTTTTCAGTTTTGGTGATAATTGTCTTCAAATTTAAAGTGCTGTTTAGATTTATTAGATCCCATATTTACTTACTGCTATCTACTAAGTTTCCTTTTAATTCTACCAATCCCAGATAAGTAAGAGTACTATTATAGAACACAGAGTGTGTTTTTGCACTGTCTGTACCTAAAGCAATAATCCTATTGTACGCTAGAGCATGCTGCCTGAGTATTACTAGTGGACGTAGGATATTTTCCCTACCTAAGAATTTCACTGTCTTTTGAAAAACAAAAATTAAAGTAATGCATTTGAGCATGACCAGAACATCCCCAGGACAGGGAAGCAGAGGCAAATGGGAGGTCTAAGAATGAGGGATTAATTTATCTGTACTCGAGCCAAAAAAAAATGTGTATTGAAATAGCCTTTGACATTGATATGTTGGGTTTTGTGTACCCCCTCTCCCAAACCCACCCCATGCCCACTTTTCTAGTTAACTTTTTCCATATCCCTCTTGATATTCAAAACAATTCAATTACTTAAGATTCAGTTTTCCCAGTTTTTGTAATATATATATTTTTGTGAATTATACTTTGCTGTTTTTAAAAATCAGTTAATTAAGTTAATAAGTTGGCGTTTTGTACAGACCCTTTTTTCCTAGTGGTGTCATTTTCGAATGCCTCGTAAATTAATGATTCCGGAGCTTATGTTTCTTATCCTCTGTTTGTTTTCGAACGTCTGTGCTCTTATAAAGTGGACTTCTGAAAAATGAATGTAAAAGACACTGGTTTATCTCAGAAGGGGATGGTGTTGTCACAAACTGTGGTTAATCCAATCAACTTCAATGTTTACTATAGACCAAAAGGAGAGATTATTAAATTGTTTAATGTTTATACAGAGTAATTATAGGAAGTTCTTTTTTGTACAGTATTTTTCAGATATAAATACTGACAATGTATTTTGGAAGACATATATTATATATAGAAAAGAGAAAAGGAAGACTATTCCATGTTTTAAAATTATATAGCAAAGATATATATTCACCAATGTTGTACAGAGAAGAAGCGCTTGGGGGTTTTTGAAGTCTTTAATATTTTAAGCCTATCACTGACACATCAGCATGTTTTCTGCTTTAAATTAAAATTTTATGACAGTATCGAGGCTTGCCATGTGAATCCTGCTCTGAAATACATAAGGAGCCTTCTTGTTTCTTATTAGGTCTCAGAAAGAAGTTGGTTAACATCACCCAAAAGCACAAAATGGATTTTAGTCAAATATTTATTGGCCGATACAGTGTTTTTTAGGAAAAGCATCTGCCACAAAAATGTTCACTTCAAAATTCTGAGTTCCTCGAATGGAATGTTGCTGCCAGTGCCCCCAAACAATTCTGCTCCCCTCTGCGGGCCCATGCGTCTTCTGCAGTAGAAGGTTGATATCGGTGCTACGTGTATGGCTTGTCATTTGTAGGAAAAGCATCTGCCACAAAAATGTTCACTTCAAAATTCTGAGTTCCTCGAATGGAATGTTGCTGGCAGTGCCCCCAAACAATTCTGCTCCCCTCTGCAGGCCCATGCGTCTTCTGCAGTAGAAGGTTGATATCGGTGCTACGTGTATGGCTTGTCATTTGGTAGACGTTTTGACTATAAAGATGATTGTGATTTGTTTCATTAAGTTGTATAATGTCAAGAGATTCTGCTGTTACTGCAAAGAAACATTTTGTGCTAGATTAAAATACCCTTTTATCAATGGGATTTTCTAGTTTCCTGCCTCCAGAGTATCTAATTCTTTAACAACCTGGTGGCCTCCTTGTCAGTCCATCCAACAATGCTTCTCTCATGGTGTCATAGTCTTGGGAAACTCAACCAGTAGGAAATTCCTACTAGGTATCCATTTTGTTCCAAGCTACAGATAATGGCCAGAGATGGGGAATATTGGAATTGAAATACATTGTTCAGGTAAACAGTAAAATGAACAAAACCGTTGGTAACCTTAAGCAGAACTGAATAAGAGATATTCAATAAGAAGCACAAGTGGACACAGAGTTGGCTTGTTTTATAGGCAAAGGGGCTGACCACAGAATTGGTGAATGGCAATACTCATTAAAGCAAAGACAAATTCTGTCTCTAAGTGGAGATGTATTGAAGGATTGCACCATGGACCATCCAAATTTATGGAAATATCCAATGGCAGCTGAAAAAACCGTATTTGAACACTGGAATTAGGTGTTTGTATGAAATGAGCATCACAAATGTTTTCTGCAGAAGAAATAAAAAGATCATAATAAAACTTATTCTTTTGTGTGCCGGGGAGGTTTCAGAAACCTACCTCATGTAAAAAATTTTAACACTTTGGAGTTTGTACAGGTGCCTTATATGTAGGTCATTGTTACATACATGCAAATACTCAGTCCTGGACTGGCCGCCTGTCTGTCCAGGGCAGGTGACTAGTAAATAAGGCAGTTCTGCTACCTGGAGTGGGAAGCCTTGGCCTGACGTGTAGTGACTTGGTTCAACCTTCAGACTGCAGCTGTTGTAAGAATCCTGTTGTCATTTTTCAACTTTTCATCCTAAGCATCTTTCATAGGTTAATTACTTGGCCATTAAAAATGAATTCAAATCGAATCACACTGACATCATTTGGACCAGGTTTTGAGTAAATGGCATAAGACTTTCTGATTAGGTCATGTCATTGTTTCTTTTGCCTAGACTTGGCAAAGAAAGACAAAAATCAATCAGCCTATCTTTCTGCTGGTGCTACCTTTAGGTAGGTAGGGGATGAGAGGACTGGAAATGATCCCTTCCTTCTCTTGAGAAAGTGGTCACTTTGGACCATTTAAAAGCCACATTAGGCAAGATTGTGGTAGGCATTTTCTCTCAAAACAACAGGCCTCCATGGAACCATCCCTCGAAGCTGCAGGACGTTGTGTTTGAAAAGAGAACAGATGAGATTCTGGCTTTGGGTGGGTGGGAAGGTGTACTAGATAACTCAGAGGTTCCTTCCAACCCACTGGTTTTGTGGGGGAACTCAATAATTCTAAATACACATTCAGAAGGTTTAGAGTCTGCTTTCAGAAGAGTCAAGAAGAATTTTAAATGGCACCCTCTGCACTGCTCCAGGGTAAAAACAATAGACATTATGTAAAATGCAAACTTAAGATTTTGGTTTTTCCAGTAGTTCATCTAATTTTCCCCTAATTGGAGTGATCCCAAGGTGGGTCAACTTGGCCTCTTCCCTGTGCGTGGCGTGTGGAGGCCTGGATTTAACATTGGCGTCAGCACCCTGCAGGCGACTGAGACTAGCTGCTCTGCCCTCTATGTGGTAGACACCTTCTGCTCTCGGGCTGCCCACTCGCTGCTAAGGGATCTAGGTACCCCCCACTGGCAAGGACAAGGTCTCCTTCAGGTCTTCTCTACAGTCAATAATATCATTTAAAAAATGAGCAAAGCCTTATCCTAGATCTCAATGAATTGGATTTAGCAACTAAAATCAATGAATTTTGCAGAGGGCCAAGTGTGTGTGTGTTTGTGAATATTTTAGCCAAGATGTAACACCTTTAATTTTCGAGCACCTTACCAAACATAACAATAATCCATTATCCTTTTGGCAACACCACAAAGATCGCATCTGTTAAACAGGTACAAGTTAACCTAAGGTTAGTTTAATTGTACACCATGATACTGGTGGTATTTATGCTGTTAAGTCCAAACCTTCATCTGTCTGTTCTTCTTAATGTTTAATAAACTTTGAATTTTTTCCTTTCTTTCATGTTCTTTTATTAATGGTAGGCTAGCAATTGGATTTTGTTTCCACCTCAGTAACCAAGAGACCAGTCATCTGTCTGTTCTTCTTAATGTTTAATAAACTTTGAATTTTTTCCTTTCTTTCATGTACTTTTATTAATGGTAGGCTAGCAATTGGATTTTGTTTCCACCTCAGTAACCAAGAGACCAGTATGGAGATTAATTACATGGATGGTAAAATGATAATACTATATAATTAGCAATAAATTAACATTTATTGAGTACTTATGTGCCAAACACTGTACTAAACACCTACATGGAATATTTCATTTAATCCAATATCAACCTATGTGGTAGGGACAATTGTTATCCCCATTTTACAGAAGAGAACATTGAAGGTTAGAGAGCTCAAGTTGCTTGCCTAACATTAGGTAGAAGTGGCTGAGATGAATTCTGATCCATTGAATGGGCATCATTTAGAGGGATGGGTCCCAAAAGCCAGTCCACAGACTGCTTCATTGTTGAATATGCAAAAATATCCTGGGAACATATTATAGGAATACAGATCCAGTGATTCTGAATCAGTAGATCTGGAATGGGGCCCAGAAATCTGAATTTTCTTTAATGCTCCCAGCTAACTCCCATGTGCAGCCAAGTCATTGGACCCAAGGATTTATAAACTTGGCTCTTGATGTGAGTTCATGACCTGTGGGGGATCCCTGTAGAATCTTCAAAACTTCCATAATTACCTGAAATTGTATGCAACTTTTTGTAAGTCAAAACATATATTTATTTTTCTGTAGAGAAGGCCCATAGCTTTTTTTCCCCCTCCTCTAAAGGAGCATGCAGTGCAAGATGGAATAAAAACCTCTGATGTATAGGAAAGCTGATGTAGTGCATTGGTTCCCAGCCCAGCAGAAGCCCCTGCAGAGCTCCATATACTCACAGTCTGGGCACTGCAGCCCAAGCCATGGAACTCAGCATCTCTGGCACAAAGAGAGGGGATGCCGTGGTGAGGAGCCCGAAGACTCTGGATTCAAATCTGTCACCTAGCATGTGTGTGACCTTGAGCAGCTAGTAGACATTTTTGAACCTAACTGTCCTCATCTGTGAAATGAATGTATAATCCCCACCTATGAAGGTTGTGGGGAGAACTAATGATATAACAAATGCATAGTTTTTGGCACATCTCAGGTTGGAGGAATACTTTGAAAACTGTAATATGCACAGGAATCACCTGGAGATCTCATTAAAATGAAGGTTCCGATTTCGAAGTCTGGGATAGGACCCAAGGTTCTACATTTCTAATAAGCTCCCAGGTGATGTTGATGCGATGATCTATGGACTGAGTGGAGTAGCAAGCGCTTAGATCACTAGTTCACAGCTGCAATTGGAATCACCTGGGAAAGTTTTTCAAACTACTGATGCCTGGCTTCCCCCCTCCACCGCATATTCTGCCTCAGTTGGTTTGAAGTATGACCTGGGAATTAAAGAGTTTTTGAAAGTTCCCAGGTGATTCTAATGCGCAGCAAAGATTGAGAGCCACCGTCCTAGATCAGATTCTCAGTTGATTCCATGAAGGGGCTCCTCTGGGGTTAAGTGTCCCTCCTAGTTCAGGCAGGTATGGGTGGAGGCAAAGCTCACAAGGAATAAACATATTAGCCACACTCAGGAATATACAGAACAGGTGAAGAAGCAGGCAGGGGGAGCGAGCAGGTAGGCAAGGATCAGCATACCTGGAACAGTAAGGGGCTTGGAGTCCAAAAAGGTTGGGTCTAAATCCAGGCATTTGAGGGGTTAAGTGAGATAGTGGAGGAGATAGTGGCAGATGAGTAAAGGCCCTTGCAATCCTTCAGAGTCCTTGGACTTCCTTGATTCTTTCCCTTCCTGATGTCTAATTGTTCAACTTCCCTTGGATTCAATACAATCTCTAGCATTATAGTTACCCCCCCACCCCAGCTTTTTTGGGAGCTAGTGTGAGTAAGCTTCTATTTTTTGCAACTGCAAGTGCCACAAGATACAGGTAC